GTAATAATAAAAATAATAATACACAAAGCAAGTGGTACCCCCAGTTTATGTACTGAGCATGACGTCCCATGGTATGGAATGTCCCTTTGGCCAGTTTGGCTGTGCCCCCTCCCAGCTTCTTGTGCACCTCCAGCCTTCTCAGTCGGTAGAGCATGGGAAGCTGAAAAGTCCATGGCTAGTGTAAGCACTACTTAGCAACAACTAAAACATCGGTGCGTTATCAACATTGTTCTCATCCTAAATCCAAAACACAGCACTGTACCAGCTACTAGGACGGAAATTAACTCTATCCCTGCTGAAACTGGGACACCTTGTCAGTTTGGTCCATCTGCAGATATAATGATACTCTCTGATCCGTCATGCAAAGAAATCACTGAAGAGTATCCAAAACAGACTCCCGGACAAATTTCTCTTATCCTTCCAGTGTGATAGTGAATTGTTGATAACCTCACTCTAAATATTCTCTTCCAAACGGTACCAACTTCTACTGCAATTTCGTCTAAACCAACTGTCTCTAATTTGTTTATGAGAATGTCAAGAGACTGAGGACTGTACCTGTTGCCCACAGTTTCTCAAAACTAATTTCTGGTGGCTCTGAGACTGGCTAATCTGAGGTTGGTGCAATCAGTTCCCTAAATACTGTTTATTAGACTAGTTGTTTTGAAAACCCTGAACTTATTTAAAAAGCCCCAACCTATTATTTCCCATTCCATCCTAATTTCTTTTCCCTTTGTCACTGATATATTGGCTGCCTGGTGGCAATTAACATGAATAGTGAAGAAGAAGAAAAAACCTAAACTCTTCGGTCTTCTCAGCACCACTTATTATTGGATTTTTCTTCCTGCTTAGTTGACGAAATTTTTCCTGGTCCTCCTTTCTCTTCTAACGTCTGTACAGAGTGTTTCTGTACAGGATCTGAAAACGCACAGCGGCGCACATCTAGCACCAGGGATTTTTGACTGTGTGGGACCCCAGTAGGAAGGGACCCTCTTTGCTGGGAGCTGATTTATGAGTTTTGATGTGATAGTAAAGATGAGCAGACACTTAAAAGGACTGTGCAACTTCTGCATGAGTATGCTCCTTTCAGTGTTTTTTAATGGCAAAGGGTCCGTGTTTGTGCATTGTCATCTCAGCAGAATGTTACCTATCTACAGAATGGAGTTTATGTACTTAGTGAAATAAATCTGTTTACAGTGCAACCTTTCAGGTACGTAGACTATGACCCTAAATGCAAAACAGCAAGGGGAATATTAAATGATTAACTGATCCAAGAATAGGATGTGCAGTGAATAGTACTAGGTTTTGTCTGGACTGCAAAATAAAGCTAACAAAATGAATGTGATGGTGAATGGTTGTCATTTTGAGTAACTAGAGCTTGCACCATAAACTTATTTAGTCCAAGATCTTGAAAGAACAGCCTCGGTGCTCTCAATCCCTCATTAGGGCAAGGTTCTCTCTACTTTTTAGTAAGAAAAAATACGATAGTGACTTTATTTCAATTAATGAAATTACTTTAAAATGCTAGGTTTGCAGCGAGCATTTCAAATAACAGTGATTCTTGTGAAATGTGTCTCGGCTCTTTGTTTTTCACTTCAGAATTTCCCAAATTTTACCGGAGGAAGGGTCCTGAATCAGGACTTCAGCTCAGTAAGGTTTTAGATATGCTGCACAGAGTTCCCCTTGCTCTGATTTCAGGCTGTGCATTTTCATGGGATTATAACAGTTCATGCATGGGTGAGATTAATTACCAGAATTGTTAGCCTTATGTAAGCAAATCATCTCATCTTGCTAAACTTTCATTGCAGCTAGTTTAACTATTCACAGCAGGATTCCTATTATTTTGTTTCATTATCCTTTATTTACTAATAAAGCTGTTTTATGTAATGATTCATATCTGGAAACGGGGCTCTGAGCAACCTGATCTAGTTGAAGACGTCCCTGCCCATGGCAGGGGGGTTGGACTAGATGACCTTCAGAGGTCCCTTCCAACCCAAACTATTCTATGATTCTGTGATCATGCTCCTGTTTGTTGCCTTCATTAATGAAATGAGAAAGCACTGTCAATCAGAATGGAGCTTATTGCTATGTTTTATAAATTCAATCCCAAGGGTAAGCAAAGTCCTGATAGGACTTAGGTCTGATAGATCTTAGGTCTGTTTTTGAGAAGGGCTGCAATGAGGTTTTGCAGTTGGAGATTAATTGGATTTTTGTATTTGCTTGGAAAAAAAGACTATGGTTTATAGGTGACCATTAGGGCTGTACACTTAGCTTTCCATGGCTACTTATATTTCATTGAAAAGACTGGTGAGTCTGAAGCAAGCTGGAAGTAACCTGAAAGTATGGCTCACTGCATAGATAGTTCTCCCTGTTCTGTAGATGAAGGGAGAGAGCGCAAATCAGACTACTTCACTTTTTACCTTGCTGTCAGTATCAGCTACAGCTGCACATGTTATTGCTGGAGAGCAGGGTATTGTGGGACGTAGACCTGGCCCTTGTGGTTTATACTGTTCGATTTAAGGCCAGTGATTAATTAGGTTATTGCATCCGTAGCTGGAGTTGCACGCGTAACCAAGATTTATGTTGCTGTAATAACACGGAGAGACACAACTGTGCTGAATTTCCTACATCTTTTAAGTAGGAGTTCTCCTAATCCAAAGTGGGATTGAGAATTCCCATCAGCGTAAGAAGGGCCCTCATTAATAGACTGAAATCTTGCATATCTAACTCTCAAACTGAGTTGAGTAAATTCCTGCTGATCATCAAAGAGTTAGAGAAAATAGGCAGTTGCAAGAGAGAAGACAAAAGGAAAGCCTGGCTCAAATTAATCAAGAGCAATTGATTTGAAGACAAATAGGAGCAATGCAGGATTTGATGACCACCATGAAAATCACAGGGTGCTTCCAAGGGGCCATTGACCAAAAGTTTGGAATGTGTTCCAGGTATTGTGACTGGCCAGGAAATAGAGGCAGGGAGGAACTGAACATGAGCCAGGTCCAGACTTCACAGTATTATCCATCAAATGAAAATAGTGGTGGTGACATAGCACGTGCTAAGGTAGACAGAGGAAGATGCGAAAATCTTAGGTGGATGGGAGGGATAACATGAGGTGGTTGAGGGCTGCAAGGGATTCAGAAGAACTGCAGGAAGGTGTGGAAAGCTTTGGGTAGGCTGTGGTAGAGGCAGAGTTTTTGGACTGAACACTACCTCCTGCGCTGCAGTGTTAGGGCACCCCTTGCATCTGGGAGCCAGCAACTGTTTTGTCCATTTGAGGATAACGTATTTAATACAATTAGTCAAAATTGCAAGTCAGACACTTCCAAAAACAAACCCCAAAAAAGTCTGGGAAGGTGTGGAAAGCTTTGGGTAGGCTGTGGTAGAGGCAGAGTTTTTGGACTGAACACTACCTCCTGCGCTGCAGTGTTAGGGCACCCCTTGCATCTGGGAGCCAGCAACTGTTTTGTCCATTTGAGGATAACGTATTTAATACAATTAGTCAAAATTGCAAGTCAGACACTTCCAAAAACAAACCCCAAAAAAGTCTGGGACACCCCCCCCCAAATAAAAATAATCCTGACTTTTTAAAATGTTGGAAACTGGAATTATTATTTTTTGCTTGTTGTCATTTCAAGGTCACATGTTTAAATGTATTTATTATTTCAGCAGTGATAGAAAATGTCCAAGCAACATGACTTTCCTTAAAGCAGTATCCTTGAAAAGTTAATTATCTAAAAGGTTTCATAATGTTGATGGAAAAGGAAGCAATTAGATTACCTTGGAGTTAGGGAACTTTTAGTGAGATGTGTAGCTATGGAAATATATGATATCATATGTTTGTACAATTCCTTTTACCTCCTGGAAAGCTGTAATATTTTAGTTTATTTTTTATTTTGCCTTTTTTTTTTTTAACAAAGAAGGAAAGCAGCAATGTAGGAAAGAGTCAATGGACTATAACCTATTTACTTTCAAACAGCCTTGGAGTTAGGGAACTTTTAGTGAGATGTGTAGCTATGGAAATATATGATATCATATGTTTGTACAATTCCTTTTACCTCCTGGAAAGCTGTAATATTTTAGTTTATTTTTTATTTTGCCTTTTTTTTTTTTAACAAAGAAGGAAAGCAGCAATGTAGGAAAGAGTCAATGGACTATAACCTATTTACTTTCGGACAGTTTTGTTTGTATACCACAGTTACATGTGATGGACTGGTGATCCGTTTCCCCGCGAGTTCAACAGAAATGACACTACAACTCACCCACTTTTCTCACTTCATAGATCAGCTGCAACAAGGGCCTGTTGTAGTCTCATGAATGAACCTCGATGACCAGGAAGCATTGAAAGGGAAGAGAATCCCGCCCCTCATTTGTTATCCAAACTGCTTGTTTGCAGGAGTCTCGCATTTCTTAAGCTGCGTCCACCTTTTGGGGACTTGTCAAGACTTGCTGCAGAGTGACGGAACAGCTGGGTGCCAATTTACTGCACGCTCCCTACTCTGCACCAAGTCTCTGCGTGAACCCTTTGACAGGAGCATAAGCTACCGCACAAGAAAAGGAAGAATTGAGCATGGGGAAAGTGTGTGAATAATTACCACCTTCTGCTCTTCTTCTCCTCTTTGCTGGCTTATTGGACAGCTTGCAGGTAACTTAAATGAGAACTGGAGCAGATGCTGAAGCAGTGGGATTTCTGGACATCTTGGAGTTTCATTACCTCCTTTGCAAAACAGACGTTGCAATTATCCTGGAAGTTACAATCCAGAAGTTGCATGAACCGAACATTTTCTACAACTTATGTGCAACAGAGACGCTGTCTGGTAGTTTCAAGGCAAAAAAAGTTGTAATGGTTGGTTTTGTTTATAAAGAGAAATAGAGGTATTGAGTTTGGCTTGTAAAGTTGCATAGTTCTAAGCTTCTGTTGTTTTCAGTGACATGAGACTTGCGTGAAACCGGTAGAGCTGCAGGCCAGGTCAGACTCCACAGGTTTCTTGCCTTTCGTAAACATTGAAATGAAGAGGTTTATTGCTAGGACATTTCCCTGCCGTGCTGCAAAGTAAAACCTGATAGCGTTATGGATCTTGACTGGAAAGTCAAATTGGCATTGTCTGATTTCATCATGTGACTTAATTATCTACAAAATATAAACAATCAGCAGAAATGGAAATTGTAAGGAAATGGTAAATGAAATAATTTGTATTTTAGTAGACTACTGTTACTCTAAGATTATAACCAAATTATCGTTTCGACAATGTTTGTTAAGCATATCTAAAAATAATACCCTCTAATGCAGTGTTGTAATACATGAGTCTCTAGCATGTCCCGTATAGCAGAAGACTCAGTATCAGTCCCAGTGAATGAGAAAGTTAAAGGAAAAACTTAATGGTCTTGTGATTCAGTAGGAAACTAAGCCAAATTTCAGCCCACATTGGAATTCAATAAAGACATTTTAGGAAAAGTATAATGTAACATTGTATCAATGGGAAAATTCTTACCATCTTCTAAGTCAAGTCCAAGTTGGCTTTTGTGTTTATTTAAAATATTCAAATTAACCTTCAGTTCAGACAGCTACTTCTGTAGTTGTCATAAACTGGAATTTCTGTAGCATTCGGAATTCAGTGTGAATGATTGAAAACATTCTCCTTTTTTTTTTTTTTTTTAAGAACTGCAAAGATTGAAGAAAAAGCTTCAAGTGGAAAGATAAAAACACTTGGAAACACTGAACCGCATAGTAATAGAACATGAAATACAAACTAGAGCAAGGAGCATACCAGATGGCAAAAGAAAATACATGATTGCTAGTCTTTGGAATTCTACTTATAAACGGAGGATTTCTAGGCAGTTGAACAATGAAATAGAGTACATTTTAAGGCAGAGAAGAAAGCTGCAGACATGGAACACCCATTTTTTTTCATTTGAGGGTCAATTAAGAAAAAAAGAATGGGCTTTTGACTCTAAGGAATAATTATTTGAAATTACTGCAACTAACCCATCCTATTTGACAACATAACTTGAAATGGCGTTCTGAGAAAAGTTCTGATTGAGTAACTTCTGGCACATGTAATATCATTTCAAGTCTGTGTTTCAATACTGTCTACTTCTGTTGTTCTGTCTGTTACAGTTTTCCACTCTTCAAGATGACACTGAAAATGTGCCTACTAGGAATTTACTATACTGTTACTAAAATTTTTATATATATATATATATACACATATTTATTCAGCTACTAAAAGGTGAGCTAATGCATCATAAAAGAAAATTGTGAATCATGCCAGAAAAAAGAAAAGTAAGGATTGTGAAAACATTGAACATAAATGTCTTGAAGAGAGATATTCATACATACTACAGTCAGCATAGACTGTGACAATTGTGATAATTTGGCCTGACCTCTTACATAGCAGAGTACATAAAACCAGTGAAATGGATCAAGTCTTACATACTATTCTCGTAGGCACTCACACACACCTAACTTGAAGTACATTTTTTTTTTTTTTTTTGCAGTCACTGGGATTAACTCCCATTTTCTAAATTAAAAAGATTGTGCTTGTAGGACAGGTGTTTTGAAGAGCTCACATTATTTGTTATTACAGACAATATTTTGTTTTAATTCTTTTCTCATAATAACTTATTTCAACAGTAGAAGTGACAGAAGGAAACATTTTTTATGATGATTTGAAAATGTATATTATTTGAAAATCAAGGAAAGCAAAAGAAGAACTTGTTGTGTGTTTAAAGTCTTTGCTTCTGACATTTTCAAATGCAGCCAAAGGAGTCACTTTTATAATTTCATCTTGATAATATATTGCTTAGTTTCTTGGAAGAAGTTTGGAAACAGGCTTTAATCTCTGCTGAGTACTTGGACAATTAAATAAGTTCTGTTTTAATAATGGGAAGGAATATTTCCTGAACAAACAGGCAGTTTGAATTAGTTTGAAGAATGCCTTAACACTTTGAAATGTAATCTCATCAGCCTCCATCAGATATTAAAGTCTTACCTGGCTGGTGCTTGGATGAGGGGAAATCTTAAGGAAGATGTAAGATTCTGCGTAAAGGGATTCAGTGTCTGCATCCACTTGGTGTTTTACATGAGTTTAGGAGTAATATTAAAAGTCTAAGAAGATACCACTTTTCAAATGAACCATTAAACTGAAATACTTTGCTAAGAAATGACGGTAGCGGAGTGGGAGCAGGGAAATCATGGTTTTGTTGCTGAAAAATTTCAACCAACTCATCTGTTCTAGAGGGTAGATAAGCTGCCAATAATTTATGCATGATTTAGGGGCTTTGGTTTCAGGGTCCAGGTTATATTTCAAATAACATACTAATAGTTTGCCTACCTACTCGCTTTAGCCACAGCTGGAAAGTCTATTCTCATCTCCTCAGGCAAGATGATACATTCAAATTTTTTATTGCTTTCGTGAAATAAAATCAGATCCTTTGAGTAAAGACCATTTTATAAATATGATGGCTGTTAGAGGGATATGATTTTATGAATGTAAACTTACAAGGTCCTGAATTATGCATGTCTATAAAATGTCTAAGCTACAACAGTTTGTGTTTTGTTGTACATAATCTTTCTTCATTATATTTTCAGGATGGAACATGAGGCTACACAGCTAGAAAAGCAGCACGTGCATAGTGTGTATGAAAATACAGCTGCCTACTTTAATGATCTGCAGAGCAAAGCGTGGCCTCGTGTTCGAAACTTTCTGCTGGAGCAAAAGCCTGGCAGTCTCGTTGCTGACATAGGTAAGCCATTCCTCGGGGTGGTGTGAAAGATTGTCTATAGACTTTATTAGTTTATGTGTTAATCATATGTATCCTTCAGAGCAATTGTTTTTAAAACTCATTTAAATTTGTTTTAAAGATTGTTTTAAGATTGTTTTTAAACTCGTATTAGATGCCATATACTACTTGGTTTATTTCCTTGACAGTGTATCAGGTAACCAGTAAATATGCTTTTTGCCTTAGTTTGATTGAGCTAAGCCTTAACCTACCAGTTTCCCCACAGACTTAGTGGTCTGTCATTGCCCTGGAGCCCTTTTTAAAAAACGGTGTTAATGGCTCAGTTATTTCATATTTCAGTTTCTTTAGATCTCTTGGTTTAAGTACTGCTGGTCTGCAATTTAATGCTCTTCATTTGTTCTAAAACTCCTCCTATCAAGGCTTTAACATAAGAGAAATCTGATGTGATCACAGTTAAAAAACAAAAAAGTTATGATCTGAGAATCTTCCTATGATCCTTAATACAGACACCAAAAACTCATTTTCCTGCTATGGCCTTGTCTTCCCTACATGTTCAATTTATATCTTGATTTTCTGTTGCACCTCCAGACTTTTTAGGGGTTTCCGGATCCTGGTGTGTTTGCTTTGTGTTTATGTTATGACTTCAGTGCTATACAGCACATCGTTGCAAACAAGATGCTCCTTTGCACCACTGGATTTTCCTCACTGTTTAGACTAATAAAATGCTTTTACGAGCAAAGTGTAATAAAAGTACACAATAAATTATGCATCTGCCTGATCCTATCAGAGAAAACCATTCTTTGATGATGTTCTGGGCCATAATCAAAAGGTAATATGTAATTCTGCTGCTATTGAACAGTACCCCTAAAATACTTGATTGCTGTTATTGTGAATATATATCTTCTTTTATATGTCTGCACCATTTTCACTAATAATCTCAGGAAATATCCTATGGCCTACACTCATTCAACAGCCAGCTTAACATGATATTTCTCAGCCAAATTTCTCTGTCACCTCAATAGAAGTCATTTGAAGCTTAACTGAAGTTCTTTGAGGCTTTATCAGCAGGCATCACAGTGGTTGCTGAAAGCTTAAGATCACCCTGTTACAGTTTCAGCTGAAATAATTTAAATGCATGTGATACATCTGGAGAGGAGGTAGATGCTTACAGTTGCCAATAAGAATATTCCCATCAAGGCACACAAGGTACCTCCTTTTATGAGGTTTAATAAGTTCTACAGGAATCTGACTATTGTGTTTATTTTTGGTATGTATTTTGGGAGGAGGGTTGCCTAGTGGCACCAAAATTTTCAAAATGAGATGTTCAATTGGTAATTTTCTTTTCTGTTTAATACCACCTTTTATTAAAATATTTTTGTTTGCTAGCTTTACATGAAGCATGGTAATGGTAGCAGAATAAAATATCATTTTGTCTACTTGCCTTATTATTGTTCATTCATCAAAATAAATGACAACAGCATGGCCATTGTTAACAGCTTCATGAAGGAATCCACCTCCTGATGACTCATTTAAAAGTGAATCTCCTGCAAATGTAGATTTTTTAAGAGTACTGAGAATGTTGTCACTATTTAGCTTCATTCCAGAGAGGACCCTATACTTCCAAAAACTCACTGTGATTAAAAAGCACTCCACCAAAAGCACTCCACCAAACTGAATCTTCTAAATTAATGTACGTTTGACTGAATGTGTTCTTTCTGCAAACACAGTAACCGATAACACTTTATACTGATTTTAAAACTTATGCTTTCTAACTAACATGCAGAGCTTCATGTTTTATTGCATATATTCCTTGAACTGCATTAGCAATATTAATCTTTTCCATCTCTCTCACGTGTTACTTCAAAGAATAGTGCTTGCTTTTTGCATTAGAAATATGCTCTTTTTTCACCACTGAAGTGTTGTGCTGTTCTCCAACAGTTCCTGTGCTGTCTCTCTAGATAATGGTGCACATTAACATCAATGAGAACAGCAGCGCTGCAAGAAGCAGTGATGTTTCTAAAGATAACTCCAGGCCTTTAAATTGAATTACCGATACTGAGATGGTTCTCTTTGCCAAGCTGCTACCCTGTTGCTTGGCTGTCAACTTTCAGAAATTATTCTTCACTACTGACCCATAACTGCAGTGAATGTTTCCTTATCTAATTTTGAAAAGTGCCTGTTATGCATATGGTTTTGAAGAACACTCTGAAAGATTTCAATTTAGTACAGCACAGTCCTTGAGAAGACATACTTTTAGGTGGAAGACATTCTGGAACAGTTCGTTACATTTACATGCGTTACAATGCATTGGCACAAAGACAGAAAGAGGACGTGCCTGCGACACGGCCGGAATTTTTATGATTCACGTTTATTTTCAAGCCTGTATCTGAAGTTAAAATTGTCCTCTCTGACTTGTGTCAGTGACAGCTGTGGTTTAGGACTTCTTGGAGAGAAGTGGGATGCACTGGAGAGGTACTGAGTGGGGTTTAGCAAAGACTGGGGAAGTACTTGGAAGAGAGATCTATTGCAGGTCATTAAAAAGACAAAACACACTGGCTTCAGGAAAACCCCTAAACAGAAAGTAGTTGGAAGCTGGAAGGGTGTTGAGGAAAAGGGTCATAATGCTTACCCTGTTCTTACTCTTTCCTGGGCACCCATTTATGCTCATTGTTTGAAACAGGACACCAGGCTATATAAAAGCTCAGTATGAAGCAGCATGGTTGGTTTTTTGCTCTAAGATATGCAATAGCGGCTGCAGAGGACCACTCCTTCCTCCTCCCACCTGCACTTACCCTTCTTCCCCAAAGAAACACACATAACCTGCTATTACACAGGGCTGTGTAATGAGTATTTTTGTTGGTGATGTTGGTACTGTTACACTCCTAACGGTGTGAACACGTAATTTGAAACAGTTCAAATGAACCCTGCAGCAGTTAGGCTAGTAGGAGCAAGCTCTCATTTTGTTTTCCAGGAAACCTTAGAATTAGGAAAGCCTCCCCATTATTTTCACTGCTTTGAGAGGGATAGCAAGTGTTTGGAACATATGACTTCTGATCTAGTATTCTTTTCTTTAGGTTGTGGAACTGGAAAGTATCTCAGTGTCAACAGTCAGGTATATAATCTCGGCTGTGATTACTGTGGACCGTTGGTAGAGATTGCAAGGAAGAAAGATGGTGAAGTTCTAGTATGTGACAACCTTAACCTTCCCTTTAGGGACCAGTGCTTCAACGCAGTCATTTCCATTGGAGGTAAGGAAACATACATGCATTCTGGCCCACAGCAAATGCAAATTTTTTTGGATCCTTTTCTTTCCATGTGTCTTCATTTCAGTTAAATTTGTTCTGAAACAATTCCCTCAGAATCACAGCAGATATTACTGAAATCAATGTAGTAAACATAAAAAAAAAAAAAAAATTAGTTCCATTGCACAGAGGCACTGTTGACCAGGGAATTATGTGGATCATTTGTTTGTTTATATGTGGTCTTGTTCACCCTGTGGAGAAAAGATTTCCTTCCAGCATGCATTTTAAAAAAGTAAAAACTAATATAAACGTGGCTGCTCGCAGTTTAAACAGATTAGGTGGTCAAGATAAACTCTTGGGTCCTCCTTAGGATCTGTTTTGACCAGCAAATGCGTTGAAATGAAAACTTGCTTTCTCTATAGCAGAACTTGAATCATGTTAACTACTGTGTGTTATGAATACAATTTTCTCTTAGAATAGTCATGAAATAAGAACTTAGAGGCATACAAGTGCCTGTTGCCTAAAATGAGTGAAGCGTCACAGCATCTTAACTCCTCTGACCTCTCTTTTTGAAAACATTACTCATAATTTGAGAAGTATAAACTGGAAAAGTGTAGATGAGGAATAGTTAGAGTACCCAGTTACGGCCTACATTTTTAGCTCTACTCTTGCTTGAACTTCTTTCAGGTTGTTTCACTGTATCAGCAAAAATATAAAGCATGATAATTATTATTGGTAGCAATCAAGAAACTACTTGAACTGTGATAGAAATGTATTTTAAAATGTATTTTTCACATATGCAGGGTAAAAGAAAGGGTGAATAATATGCAAGCAGTATCTATATTACTTTGCTTTCATGTTGGCTAGTTAACCAGTGAGCCCTATCCACATTTCAGGTCTTGTAGCATAATTTCAGTGCTATCAGATCAGCTGAGTTTGAAGGATAGCATATCTATCTAATGTTTAAACCAATTATAGGCCTGACAAGATTAAAAGTTCACGTGGTATTTTGTACATTTAACAATAATGGATTTTAATCCTTCTTGAATAGAGACATGGTATGCCTGTGTCCATCTAATTCTAAATAAAGTGTTTTTCATCCCATTCCAGAGAATAGCAAGTATTTATGTACATAGTCAAATACTCTTCTTGGCTTTGCTAGTATAATCCTGTTTATAGGATTTATATTTCTGCAGAACCACAGTGTGATTATATAATTTTAACCATGAAGAATATTTAACCCAGTAAATGAATTGCTTAGATAGAGCTTGCACAGATTCTGTTGGTTGATTGGCACTTCTTTCTGGTGAACTAAGCTCACATCCTTATACTGTCTCTGTCAGTTTTGATATTATTTTGCAGGAAGTTCTCTGGTGATATATGGACTAACTCCAGTATGAGAGAAAATACCAGTTCCTCTCTCCCCATCTTGTTAAAGAAATTGAAATAGTATTTTATCTTTTTTCTGCAAAGTTCGAGAAAATATTGACAAGAGTTAGGAGTACCTGGAAATAAACACTGACCATATAGGCTGGGGAACTCTTCTCCGAGTTTGTTATCTTGTGTTCTCAGCTGCTCGTGAGGGCCCAGTTAATATCAACTGCCAAGAATGCTTTTCTTGGCTTGTGGTAAAAAAGCTGCATTTTCTCCTCTTGGTAATTTAATCATTGTTTTGAATAAAGACGGGGCTAGTTGGACACACTTTTCATAACTGCAGTGTTGAAATGACACTATTTCTACAAGTAGAATTGGCTACTGTCAAGCAGCACATATAAAGATAATCTGATTTTTCTGGAGGTATGGAGATGTCTTCAACTAAGAACATATACTACTATTATATGTTGTTATATGGGTAGATTGAATGTTTTGCATGTAAAAGTGGCTGGCTCCAAGTCCACTTGAAACAAATTAGGGAATCAGTCCTCTTTACGTCATTGATTTGAATGAAATCTAGTACTGATGATATATAGAACAGCATGACCAACATGACCAATCTCAGTACAAGTTAATGTTTTTGAGAGTTTAGAGAGAAAATAGCTGACTTAGCTATTCTCTGGCTGTTAAAATTGGTTCCTTCAGGTGAATAGGAAGATAGAAACAGTGTGGAAATCTTGAAATGTAGCTTCATTTCACATTGCAGTGAAATTTGAAAATGCGGAATTTATCCTGGAAATAAAATTCAAATATAGTGATCAATAGTTTTATTTTGAATTTGACTTTTTATTTTTAACAGCATAAGATAATGTAACAAAAATTCATCATTCTCAGACATGCAATGTAGACTGAGATACTTCTCATTTTTTTTCCTCCAAAACAATCTATAAAGGCAATGCCTTTCCACAAAATTAAAGCAATGGAAAATATTTCTGTCTAAATTTTGTCACTAGCTCTTTTGAAAGTGCACTGATAATAAAAATACAGAGTATTTTTTTTCTGATATTACATTTTGCTGTATTTGTTACATGGTGGAAGGATTTTCTGTAAGATAAGTGTGAAAAGTGTCCCAAAACCTAAAGTCAAACTTAATATTCCCTAACTCGCCTAAAGGCCAGGCATTTAAGTGAAAGCTAGTCATGCTACGACCTTTTATGGGTGATGTAGAGAAGCAGAAACCTCCAGCTCGTATGCCTGACTTTTCTTGAATCCCTATTTTGAGATGAGATGAATTTCCTTCTTTGGGATTTTCCTTTTTTTAGCCATTGAACATAAATGTAAAAGAGATCATTCTGGGGTAAACTTGCACTGTGGTACCAATAAATTCAGCACTGTTGCTGACTTGCAGTAAGTGACATTTGGGATATGGCAACTAAAATGACTAAACACATAGAACAGGTTGAAGACGAAAATGCTATGTCCTTACTAATATTCAATACATAATGCCTTTCCTTTTTCGCAGTGATCCATCATTTCTCAACTAAACAAAGAAGAATCAAAGCAATAAAGGAAATGGCAAGGGTATTGATACCTGGAGGCCAGATGATGATTTATGTTTGGGCTATGGAACAAAAGAATCGTCGCTTTGAGAAACAAGACGTATTTGTTCCTTGGAACAAGGCCTTGTGCTCACGGCATTTTTCAGAATCGAATCAATCTGGAGATAAGGGTGAGTTTGTGCATGCTGTAAAAAGCCAAGACATACACCCTGCACAGCTAGTCATCTCTGACTGCAGCTACCAAACCAATCTGCAGCCAGAAACTGATTCAAAACATTCCCACAATACGGACCATTGCTTATCCAGAGCCTGCTGCATGAAAATTTCTGAAGAAGAAAACAGATTTTACAGTGCTCTAGGAAGATCTTTCCGCTCATGGTTTTTCTCCAGATCCCTTGATGAATCAGCCCTTAGAAAGCAAACTGACAAAAGGAAGGCTCTGAAGAATGAAGGAGAATGGGCAAACAGTACTGTACCCATTGAGCATTCGCGACACTGCAGTTTGGATTTAGGTCACCATGGGGCACTGATAAAAGAACAAAGTTTAGATGATGATGATGTGTTCGTGGAAAGCCTGCCTCTCAAAAAAACAGAGTGGTCACCAGCCACAGATGCACTGAAGGATTTAAGTTTAAATGGAGGACACCACAGTGTAGCTCAGAGCAAGAATGAAGTAGCTTCATTTATAAATGGCCCAGTGGAAGACAGGGACTACAGCTGCGTTTGTAATAAAGATGGTGCTGGTACATCTAATGCCAGCAAGTTTTTCAAAAGAACTTCAACAACTGACTCCACTGACTCTGCATTGGATTCAGCAGTGTCTGTTGGGGAACAAACTGATGCCACGTTGGATACAAAAGCCTTCATGCGCTATTATCATGTTTTTCGGGAAGGGGAACTGTGCTCTCTGGTAGAAGAGAACGTGCCTGAGCTTCAGATACTTTCTTCCTGCTATGACCATGGAAACTGGTGCATCATTGCAGAGAAAAGAGGAACACAGCTGTAAAGAGAACAAAGCAGAATTCAGTGACTGAGCATTTTGAGCTGCTCCTTGTGTTCCTGTGATTGTGCAGTGTGACATGGAATTTGAATCTCATGTAGTTGTGTGCCATTCATTTCTGAGTTATTATCTCTCTACCTATTTAACTATCTAATGCAAGGTCTGTATATAGGAATGTAAGTGGTAAACAATGTTTATGTTTTGTTAAACTTTTATGAAGTTAAAACTGGAGAGTTTTATACTGCTTTTAGTAAATAATTTTGTTTTTAAATATACTTTTCTATTGAAAAATAAAACCTTTTTATAAGACAAGGATCAGGACATCTTTTATGAGAAATATCCTCTCAGTAAGAAGTTTAGGTTTTGTTCTTCAAACGCTGAAGATGTGTCACATTACTCCCTGTTCTTGAAGTCCTATAAATAGAGACATAGACACATTTAAAACCGTACTTGACTGTATACTGCTAGAGTGCATGCTGCAGAACTGGGAGCAAGCATGGTCCCGGTGCTTCTTAGTTTAGAGTAGAGTTGTTAATGGGTAAAAACTATGTACAAAACAAGCTCTGCATATTCTGCCATTTGAGGTTTGTATTTGGGAGCAAATGACAGAACAAATTTTTAACAGTATTTTTGACTTTTGTTTTAAAAAGAATTTAATTTGTGTCTCAGGTGCAGGTTAAGTTTTATATGTTAGGTCTCACAAATACTTCATCTTAATTTCCTTTGCTGTAGTTTTTCATTGGTATATGTGCATATAGAAGTCAGAGGGATTTGTGAGACTATCAGTATTATGTAAAGGTTACGAAATATCAAATATTTGAGGTACATATATCTTTTTGATAAGTCTGGGAAGCTAAGATAAAATTAATAAAATTCCAGTGCATATCTGGTCAGCTGTCATATTTGCTCTCCTCATTCACTGACATGAGAATATATATTAAATGGTGTGTGCATATAGAAGTCAGAGGGATTTGTGAGACTATCAGTATTATGTAAAGGTTACGAAATATCAAATATTTGAGGTACATATATCTTTTTGATAAGTCTGGGAAGCTAAGATAAAATTAATAAAATTCCAGTGCATATCTGGTCAGCTGTCATATTTGCTCTCCTCATTCACTGACATGAGAATATATATTAAATGGTGTGTTAAATAATGTAGATAGGAAGGGGATACAAGTCCAGTTTGTATATAAAATACAAAGTCCTGTCTTCTGCAGTTTAAATGAACCTTTTGAGACCTAAATGATAATAGATTGCTTAAAATTTCCCATTCCCTGTAAGACATAAATTTTGCTGAACATGGTGCCCCATCATCATCCAGTTGTATTAGATTGTAGCAGTTGCCCTCATATAGTTCTTTACACCCAAATAATCTCACCCCTTTCAGTGGGAGGCTTATGATGTGAAGTTGTATGTGCTGTTGATAAAATCCACCTGGCTTCTGAAGATCAGTAGTGAAATTTTAATTGTTTTAATTAATTTTTAATTGTTACCAACTGAAGCAGGGCTGGACTGGGCTAATTGCCTTGTTAGCATGAAGTTACTCCATTTTTAGGCTTTATTTACAGTCGGTGGTTTTAGTGTAGGGCACATCTTCACCTGGTGTGATTTCATGACCTTTAATGGAATTGCACAGATCCACCCCAGCGATCAACCCTTTTGATACAGCAGTTTTAGAGACCCACATAATTAATGTCTGCCCTATTAGTGAGCAAATAACTTTGAATACAAAGCAACAGGAGTGAAATACCAAACTTTTCCAGTCTATGCTGCATAAGTAGATGGATTTTGGGTTGTTCAGTAGAAAGCCCTGATGGTGCTGAGTATTTTTAGATGTAGCTGCCCAGGAGTAATTGCCACATGGTAATGTATTACAGATTTATTTACCGGAGAGATGCCTGTAGAACAATCATCTTTGTCTTCCTTGTAGTTTGGGATCCTTGTACTTTATGCTTCCTAGGTCTGTACTGCTTGCACTCCCCACTGCCTTTTGAAAATAAAAGCATGGTCAAAGAACCATGCATCTGAGACTTCTGAAATAGTATTCCACTCCAAATATTACTTTCAGTACAGCCTGGGGCTGCGGTTCTCGGACACTGTGTCTGAGCCATACTTCAGAAAAGCGGCAGTATTCCCTGCATCGCTGGGTCCCGCTGATCATGGCTGAGGGGCTGCTCCTGCTGCATCCTCAAGCTCCAGTTTTAGCAGCCCAGTGCAAAAATGCCCATGCTGGCATATTGCAGAGACAGCGTGGATGGTGCTGAGCTCCACACCTCATCTGCAACATGCTCATGTCGGACCGGTGAGGCCTGCCTCGTTTGTTGGGAATTTCTGGAGAAGCTTGAGGACTTTAGAAGAAAACTCAGATGCTTCCAGATAAGATATGCCAGTGGATATTCAGCACCCCTGGAATTTGAGCCGTGTTTAGGAAGGAGGTAGTTCATTATCATCCTATATCCAATTTTGAAAGTTCATCCCTAAACTCCAGCATGCAGAAACTCTATTACACATACATAAAAATATTTATAAAAATTTATTAATCTAAACTGACAGCTGGGTTTAGTTAACCAGGAGAAGGAATATTATAATTTTATCATCTGCACTTCTGCAGTCTATCTGTGGAGTATTCAGCATGTAGCCAAGCAGGCTGACGAAATTTGGGGTAAAGTAATAAAGGAAAGCCTTCCATTCTCTTTACTACAGAGAATTATTATCCTTGCAAGAGCCTGAATCTATGCTTCAGGCTCCCGTAAAAACTTCCTGCTCTATCAGCTGTATGAATAAGAGCTGTCACCTCAAAGCCACTGAGGTACTTTAAACAGCTTTTGTGTTTGTAGACTTTCCATGCATTGTTTGATTTGAGATTCTTGACTGGGGATGCTTTTCACGATTATTTATTTCTGTATTGGATTTTCTCTTGTTTTGAGCTGATGCCATTAAGTTGCTTTACATACAAGTTTGGATTGTATCATTATAAATTCCTGGGAGAAGGAGAGGGGAGGTTTGGTAAACCACTTTCTTTTCAAATACTCAGTTTTCCTCTGAGGACATATAGTCACCATATAACATAATTTTTATAGACGGGGGATCAGTCAGCTGAGGTCATGAATGTGAGGTCTGCACAGCAAGCCTTTATTCCCGTCTGCAGTCTCCCATCTATTTATGGAGGCTGCCTAGGTCTGTAACAGCTTTATCATCTCATAAGAAGCCAGATTACCTCACTCAGAGCATGGTGAATGTCCCTCTTGATTGGTTTCTCTTTTGATGAGGCCCATCTTAAGCAAAATGTAATTTCCAGAAGAATCCATGTCATCCCAGTCTTTAATATTAAGCTTACAGACATAGTTAATGTGCTCAGAGAAGTGTGCATGCTATTGAAAAGTCTATAGTAAATGAATGAATAAGTAAATAAAACCTACTTGTCCTTCATGCTAAAACTCTCAGCAATGTCCAGACTGCAAGATCTGACTGTTATAAGGTAAAAGGCAAATGTGTTCTTACATTTCTCGTCTGACAAGTGGGCAATGTTCTCACCCCAGTTATGCCGATAACAAACCTGCTTCTGACTGCAGTGGGCTAGGATTGCTCCTAAGCTGCTCATCTAGCTTTAAGTGGCACGTGGAGAAGTCTTGATTCCATGAGAAAAGGTGCCCTGTTTTTTTTACAATTTGATTTACTAGTATCATTGTCAGTCTGAACTGGCTAAACAAAAGCTGCTACCTTATTAACTCTTACAGACTATAATCCAAATGGACAATTGCAATAAAAAAGATACAATTGAACAGACTTATTTTTGAAGGACTAATACAGTTGCAATCTTTGATAAATGATATTTTGTCCTTTTTTTAATACATGAAAATATTTATATTGGAAGTGCAGAAGTATCATTTTTTTTTTGTACTAATGGTGAGTAATTTACTTTCTTCCAAGCTTATGGTGTAGGAATTTTAAAAGCACAGGTGAGGAATGAAAGCTATAAATATTCTAGCAGATTTTTCCTGGTACATATTTGTATACACATTACTTATGTGCACAGTTTAAAATGCTGAGTGAAGAGCTGTGTATGTTCCACCAGCAGAATATTGTTAGTGAACCGCCTGGGTAGATTCTGAATAGAAATAATGGCTCTGATCCTGTGTCCTCTCTGCCGTGTCATGTCTCCATCAGACTGTATTCATATTACTGTTGGGTTGTATTAGTATCGACATTGCGTTGAATCTATTGGTCTACCCACTTTCTTGCTCAGCGCTTTTACAGGATTTGTGGTTACTTTAGTACTCCAGGAAAATGAAGTGTGTCAGTGTTAAATATATATAATTGTATATCTCTTTTGTGAGTTCAGCATTTCTTATTCTTACAGTATATGAATTCTGGCAGCTACCCGTGATTTTACCTTCCAATCTGCTGCTCAAAACCATGCTTAGCTACTACTCTGTAATCAATTCTTTGTCCATACATGGAACCTATTCTCTAGTATTGGACAGAAAATAAATCCTACTTGGTTAAAATATTATTTCCTACAGAACTTCTGTGCTTTCAGATTAGTTAATAAATACATTAGCCACTGGAAACTCTGTGTCTGGGCAGGTTCTTAATGAATGTTAAATTTGAGGAGACTCTCTTAGTGCTATTTGCTCAGTAAGTTAGACCACACGGTCATGATGCAGAGCAGGTGAGCATAGTGATTTGCTATGAAGCCAGGGGGTCTGTCTTTTTACTTTAGACAGCCACAGTCAACCTAGCCAAAACTGTGATCATTCGAACCAGGTAAATAAAGGTGATCAAATGGGGTTTTTAACTGCATCAGTACTATATGTCCTGTTGATGATAGAAAAGCAGGATGGTCAGCAGAATTAATTGCTACAGAGCTACATTTTCTGCTCCTTCTGATCTATTTACAGTCATCCAGGACTAAGCTTTGTGGTATAAGATAACATGGAAGTATTTCTTAAGGATTGTCGACATTCTTTTTGCACCAATTTAAATCAGAAAAGAAAAAAGAATGTAATTAGCATTATCCAATTGCCTGGTGAGGTTCCAGCTATACTGTGTTAAAAGTGTTTTTACAGTTGCAGTGATCATTTATTGTGTTTGTACAATTACAGTGATCAGTGATTGTTCTGATATGTTTATTATAGTAATGACTAAGGACCTAGTAGTAATTAAGCACTATCCAGATGAGTATTAATACATGCCCAGTAGTACAGAGTATGTAACCTAATAGTATTTAGATTATGGGAAAGTAGCATGGGCACAGGCTGGACAATCGGGTGGTAACAAATGTAGTTTCAGGGGGATAGGGAACGGTCTTTATGAAGAGGGAATGAATTAAATCTGACACAGTGTTGAGAAAGGCTAAGGGAAAAGAGTAAAGACAGGAAGTATACAGAGAAATGAGGGGGAACGGCAAAGATGGGAGCAATCACAGCAGAGAAAGCACAATCTGCACTGCTGGATATTCCTAGAATATGCAGAGGTCCCTGTTTTGACTGCTCTTACTTTCTGGAGGGTCTAGTTGATATCTCCCTGCTGTCTTGCTTCACGAGCATGTGCAGAGGAGGAATGCACCTTTTTCCCACCGCTTGGAGTTCCATACTCTTCCTGTACACTTCCAAGGCTAGGCATATGCAGAGGAAGATTGGTTAGGGATAACAATTTTTCCTTCCTTTGTAACGCCATCACTTCATTGCAGCATGTTCTGGTTTGATTCTTTCTATTCTTGCTGAGTGCTTCAGTTTGCTCTGGCTGATTTGACCTTGCTCAACTATGCCCACAATCTGGGGGTGCATTTGTTTTACCTAGTTATCTCTCCTACCAGTATAGTTGCACTGGTACAAGCTTTGCATGTAGAAGGGGTTGCATGGACAGCTTAAACAAGTATT